ACAGGGGGTGGTGCAGTGTCTATTTTTATATTTAACAAAGGAATTGAGCATTACACGAACAAACTATGATTTACTATTCCCTATTAATCCAACCCAATGTCGTAGACCTAAGATATTCCAAACTATGAAGTCTGTTAGATTAAATAATCTATATTAGAAATATCAAAAGTTTTAACTATAAGGTTGCAAAGAAAAAGGTTTAAAAAATTTTTACAAGCTCAAATGTTCTGTTTCCTGCAACGAGGTTATAGTATAGTACAGTATAGTGATAATGTACTCGGGGGTGATTTAAATGGAGAATTTGTTTTCCCTGTAACCATTAAAATCCACTACTCCTTTATCGTGTGCAGGATTCCATTTTCACAGGAAGACGTACTATTACAGTCTCTAACAGAGCAATATTTCATTGCATATTTGATGTTTGTATAGGCCATAATCTCTTTATATCCTTTATCAGTAAACTCCGGCTAATACACACGGACAGGTAGCTAAGATCCAGCCCCCCTGGTTTCCGACCTTTAAAAAGAAAAAATCTAAATATTTAAAAGCATACATATGAAAGCAGAAAACAAATACGATTATTTTATCAGACAACGTAATCTAACCTTTAAAAGAGAGCTTTTGAACTTTTAAATATAAAAAACAGATTGTAACTCTGGTCTTAAATCAATAATACAAAATAGTCTTTCCATTACGTGGAATTTTTGTTTTAAAATAATCTTCAAAAATGTTTAAACCAGGAAAAGTATTGACAAAATTTGATAAAAGGGTTAAAATTTAATTTCTTATTTCGCTAAATTAAATAAAATAAATTAATATGGCATACTCTACATTAAATCGATTATCTTGACGAAATAAAAAAGTAAAACATTATTTTTAATTTTGTCAAGATAATCGATAACAAGAGAATTAACATTTAGTTTATGTATATATTTATCTTATGTTTATCTTAATTCTTATTCTTATTCTTATTCTTATTCTTATTCTTATTCTTATTCTTATTCTTATTCTTATTCTTATTCTTATTCTTATTCTTATTCTTATTCTTATTCTTATTCTTATTCTTATTCTTATTCTTATTCTTATTCTTATTCTTATTCTTATTCTTATTCTTATTCTTATTCTTATTCTAATTCTTATTCTTATTCTTATTCTTATTCTTATTCTTATTCTTATTCTTATTCTTATTCTTATTCTTATTCTTATTCTTATATTCGTATTATTATTCTTATTCTTATACTTTTTGGAACAATCTATGATTTTCTAAATCTTAAAACCAATTTGGTAGACCTTAGATTTTTCAAACTATAAATTATTTCAGATCAAATAGTCTAAGTCTAATATAGTAAAGGCTTACACCATCAGGTTGCAAAGATGAAGACATTAGAAGCTTAAAATCTTTTCGTAAAAATCCATAAAATATTTTGAATATTGTTGCTTTTGATTTTGCAGTTTCTCCCAGGGTTTTGGAGTAAAAGGTTTCCTTTTTAAATGACTTTTCATAAAAGGTCGGATAAATTTTCACATTTTACTCCAAAACCCTGGGAGCAATTCCGAAACCCTGAGAGCAGCCACCCCTCCCTCGGTTAAGTAACACTAATGATCAGATTTTTGCACAATTTTATAAATCCTAAAATCCTGATATTTTTAAGTAGTTCAGAACAAGGCCATTTTAAAATTCTTTTATAATGAGTTTAATGGAATACAGGACGGAGGGAGGAAGATCTGCTTATCATTGGAGCGAAGAAGAACCTGTTGGTCTAGGACAAAGGTTAGATCCAAATATTTTAGAAAATATAAAAAACTTTTTCCAAAGGAAAACTTTGCATTGTTTTTAATAGAAAATAACAATGTGTCATGGCGGAAATTGATTAGGCATAACTTTCATTAATTCATTAAAAACATGCAACCACACGACCACAGGTTTTGAAATTAAAACTCAGCCCTCATAGCCTAACGTTTTATGAACAACATTTTCATCAGACATATATCTAACGTTAGACTAATCAATTTAGTATTCAGAGAAATGTTATAAAACGTTTTGATTCACAGATTTACATTTTTTTAAATGTTAGACGTTACATTATTAAAATTTATACTCTGTATAAAAAGCTTTCGTTTCCTGATTATTAAAATAATAACTCATTTCTGAAATGTTGAAATTTTCATTATACACTAAGGGAAAACGTTTCAAAACGTTTTCATAAACAGTAATGCATTTTTCAGTTATACAACGTTACACTATTTATAAGTTGAACTTTAAAAAAAATATCCTTTAATTACGATATTCAATCAAATCACAATTCATTTTTCAAACTTTAGACTTTCAAGCTTCCCATGGAAACAAAACATTTCTTCACTTATGGTCAAACACGTTGTAGATATTAGAAAAAATAACGTTACATTACCACAAAACGCTAACGTTGGGGGTATTTTCCTCTAACGTTAATGTTTAACGTTAATGTTAGGTATGAGCTCCTATAACGTTAACGTGTAACGTTGATGGTATACAGAATATATCTAAACGTTTTATATTATTGTAACGTAACGTATAAAAACGTATATTTTACGTTACGTTACATTATCGTTGACATCTCTAATAAGTATATAGAAGAAACGCTAATGAAAGATGCTAGGCGTCCATGATGATTAAACCGCCGCCCCATCAAAAAGATATTCGAACTTTTTATTGCTGCATATTTTCTCATCTTCCATTATTTACCAATAACAGTCAAAGTATTCGTAAACTTTTCTTGTTTTTGTTGAGAAGTTTTACAACTTGTAGAAATACATATTCTTATACATTCTTTAACCCTAACAGGCCAAAAACCATTAAAAGGGCAATTCTACATACAGATCCAGACAACTCTATAGATTCTACATACAGATCCAGACAACTCTATAGATTCTACATACAGATCCAGACAACTCTATAGATTCTACATACAGATCCAGACAACTCTGATACTACATACAGATCCAGACAACTCTATAGATTCTACATACAGATCCAGACAACTCTGATTCTACATACAGATCCAGACAACTCTGTAGATTCTACATACAGATCCAGACAACTCTGTAGATTCTACATACAGATCCAGACAACTCTGTAGATTCTACATACAGATCCAGACAGCTCTGTAGATTCTACATACAGATCCAGACAACTCTGTAGATTCTACATACAGATCCAGACAACTCTGTAGATTCTACATACAGATCCAGACAACTCTGAAAATTATCCTAAATTTTTAAAACAGGGTCAACTTTACAGTGTCGGAACTGCTTTGGCATTTAATACTAACTCTATAGAACTGACTTTTACTTATTTTTGTAGCCCCAGAGATTTACATTTTAGAATTAGAACACCCCGGACTAACCAGAGGCATTCGGTTTATTCTATTTGAAATCATACGCGTATTGGTCTATAATTTAACAATCTTTAAACTTACGGATTTGTTTGTTCTATACTTTTCATTCAAGACGTAAATGCAGACAAAAAAGTAAAAGGGTAACAAATGATGCTTAATAGATCAAATTGTGATCGAATGTCAAATCTTTCTGGAATATTAACAGAAACGTTAAATCCACGTGATAAAGTGTGCTTGTTTATTAGATTGATTTTTAAAAAAATAATGGGCAACATTCTTATCCATTTTTGCTTGAGAGCTTGCAACTCTTGGATCCCTGCATGTACTCCCTCCCTTGAGAGCTTGCAACCTTTGGACCTCTGCATGTACTCCCTCCCTTGAGAGCTTGCAACCTTTGGATACCTGCATGTACTCCCTCCCTTGAGAGAGCTTGCAACCTTTGGACCCCTCCATGTACTCCCTCCCTTGATAGCTTGCAACCTTTGGATCATTGCATGTACTCCCTCCCATGAGAGCTTGCAACCTTTGGATCCCTGCATGTACTCCCTCCCTTGAGAGCTTGCAACCTTTGCATGTACTCCCTCCCTTGAGAGTCTGCAACGTTTGGATCACTGCATGTACTCCCTCCGTTGAGAGTCTGCAACGTTTGGATCACTGCATGTACTCCCTCCCTTGAGAGCTTGCAACGTTTGGATCACTGCTTGTACTCCCTCCCTTGAGAGCTTGCAACCTTTGGATCCCTGCATGTACTCCCTCCCTTGAGAGCTTGCAACCTTTGGATCACTGCATGTACTCCCTCCCATGAGAGCTTGCAACCTTTGGACCCCTGCATGTACTCCCTCCCTTGAGAGTCTGCAACTTTTGGATCACTGCATGAAGAAATTGGATCAATTCTGTTTTGCTGTTTATCTAATTTTTGATGGGAAATATCAAAATACCGAGGGAAATATGAGTACTTATAGTACAAGTTACAATCTATATATATATATATATAACGTAGTAATCTCTGTTTGTGTGTTTGTTCGAAACACGGTTTTTGCCTCAAATTTGTATTAGCAAACTCGTTGAATTACGGGAATGTTCTATGTTTAAGAATTGTTCAAATCTTCAGGCAAAACTCCAAAGTTCCAAATCTAGTAGCGACAATAGAATATAGAATTTATTTTCTTAAAATACATTAATTTGAATATTTTCAGCACAACTAATCAAAACTAATATTTCATGTAAACATCATAAATTTTTGTTTCGGCCATTTATCAATTTTTCATATTCCCCGGCCTATGAAGTATTAAGACAATAATAGAGACTGTTCACTTTTTAGTAAACTGTAATTATTTAAGAGATTTTTAATCTTACATAGGAATTGAGGCTTTGCCACAAACTCTGTTTTTCTTCTTATTTGATCAAACACCATTTATAGGTCTACGACGAGGGTACAAAGATATAGGGATTATAAAATCAGATTTTGAGGCAAAGACTCAGTTCCTTTTGAACATTTTGTTTGCTCATCTAGAGATGCAATTTATTGAAAAGATACTGTTTTAAACCAAGGTGCCTCTTTCAAAACAAAGAGTCACGAACAGTTATGTTGACATTTTATATAAGAATGGGACCAACATTCTTTGCGAAATTAAAAGAATGGAACTGAGTCTTTGCTACAAACTTTGACTTTCTAATCCTTACATCGTTGCTACCCATTGTCATAGACCTCAGATTCAGATATTTCAAACTATGAATTCTGTAAGATAAAATATTTTAAGTTTGAAATATCAAAGGTTACGTCTTCAGGTTGCAAAGAAATAGGGATTACAAATCTTAGTTTGAGGCAAAGGCACAATTCCTTTTTGTACAAATTTATTTGTTTGCATGTTGGACTCTCAGCTAAAAAGTTCTTATTAATTTAAATATATACTTACATTACATGCCAAGAATGCATGAGAATATGAAGGCGGGAGGATGAGGGGGTGGGCGGTAATCATGGGAGGGTTTAGTCTCCGAGGTTTGAATTGGCGGAGTAGGGTTAGTTTCCATCTCCCGGTTTGTATGGGACCTCTCTACTCTACTCTACACCCAGATCCGTCCTAGCCCAATACCAGCCCTCATCCATACTCAGGGATACAGAGATATAGAGATACATGGATAAAGGCATACTGGGATACATGAAATAGAGATACAAAGATACAGAGATACAGAGATACATAGATACAAAGATACAGATATACAGGGATACAGAGATGCAGGGATACAGAGATACAGAGGTACAGGGATACAGGGATACAGTGATACAGAGATACAGAGATACAGAGATACAGAGATACAGAGATACAGAGATACAGAGATACAGAGAAACAGAGATACGGAGATACAGAGTTACAAGATACATGGATGCAGGGATACAGTGATAAAAGGATGCAGGGATACAGGGATACAGGGACACAGGGATACAGCGATACAGGGATACAAGGCACAGGGATACAGGGCACAAGGATACAGGGTACAGGGATACAGGTATACAGGGTTCAATGATACAGGGTTCAGGGATACACGGATACAGCGATACAGGGATACAGGAATACAGGGTTCAGGGATACAGGGATACAGGGATACAGGGATACAGGGATACAGGGTACAGGGATACAGGGATACATGGTTCATGGATACAGGGATACAGGGATACAGGGATACAGGGATACTGGGATACAGGGATACAAGGATACAGGGATACAGGGATACTGGGATACAGGGATACAAGGATACAGGGATACAGAGAGACAGGTAGATACAAGGAGATACTGTGATACATGGATACAGGAGAACCAGGGATACACAGATACAGGGGCACAGGATAGGATACAGGGCCGGATAAAGGGATACACTTATAGAAGAAAACACTCCAACTTATTTAATAAAAGTCCACTCAGTTTTATTATTTTTACCCTATACTTTACTTTAACGACAAAAAACGTCATAAGAATTTGACTTTAGAATCTTTAAAATAATATGTATCTAGTAAATTTGTGTTAAATAATATTATTCATAGTTTTCCTTTTTAAAACAAACAATAATTTTAAAAACAAATTAAACTTTAAATAGCTTATGTTTTGGCATTAAAGTACCTAATATGCATTTATAAATCAAGTTGAATAATTACAGAGGGATGAGAATGGCGGCTCACAGTGTTCTTTATCAACTTCATAAAAAACTAAATGAAAAGAAGGATAAGGAAGCACTGGAGGAAGCATTTAGGTCAGATATTTACGTTTTGTTTTTCAAAACTCGATTAAATGTGAGTTAGTATTTATAGAAGTCTTTCTTATGGAGTAAATGAATCAAGTCTTTGCCACAAATGCTTATTTTCTAATTTTTTATATCTTTGCAACCCGATATAGAATACCTTTGAAATTTCAAACTACGAACTCTGTTAGATCCTATAAGTTTAAAATATCTACGGTTACAAAGATATATGGACTAAAGAATTTGAGTTTGTGGTAAAGAATCAATTCCTTTTTTTCAACCCAATAAAATATAAAATTGGCCTCTTTTCTTCGTACGTTTGTTTCGCCTATATGTAACATGTAAAGTTTCATATTCTAAAATACAAATGTTTAAGTTACATTCTTTTTTTTATTAATTTTTTTTCAGACACTTCTACAATTAATGCATTAGGGTGTGCACTGCACACGTTATAATTAATTCCGATACATATATTTGTATAAGCGAAAAATTATAAATATTTTAACCTTTGATAAATTAAGATATAATTACATACATTTACAACATTTACCTAAACTAACATGTAATAATTTTTCCACGTAAAGAAAATGTTTGAAACATTACCGATCCATGTTTAGAGATGGACGCGAACGTTTTTTTCTCTTTATTTTGTTCGCTCATCGTTCGTGAACGACCCATTTCGTTCAGATTTTTTCTTGATATTATTATTATTCATTTCCCATCTATTTTGTTCGTTTTTCACTATTCGATCATTCAGTAAAATTATTTGTTTAGTAAAATCGTTCGTTCAGTAAGTTTGTTGTTCATTGTTCACGAAAAATTCTAAAAAAAAACTGTGTCCATCTCAATAGAAGGAAGTAAGTCATTGAACATCCCCTGAGACAACTAGATAATATAACGGCCCGCTCGTCCAAGTTATCTTGAAAAAATNCAGTAAGTTTGTTGTTCATTGTTCACAAAAAATTCTAAAAAAAACTGTGTCCATCTCAATAGAAGGAAGTAAGTCATTGAACATCCCCTGAGACAACTAGATAATATAACGGCCCGCTCGTCCAAGTTATCTTGAAAAAATCACCCAATTCCATCTCAAGACGATGAAATATCTGAAAGGACGATAAAACATCTCAAAAGACCATAAAATTATGTGCATTATTTTTTTCGGAAAATAAAAAAATTTTACTTAACCACGAGTTCCATAAGCTTACCTGTAAATAATTATTATAGAACTTAAAAGAAATGGAGAAGTTTGCGAGGGGAGGAGGGTATTGAGGGGGAGGAGGGTATTGAGTGCCCCTTTCGTTTTCCTTATCAAGCAATACATGATTAATAATTTGTAAAATTACACCTCTGGATTTCAGAGTTATAAAAAATCAAAGTTTTTTGAAGGAAAAATATTAAATTTGACCGTCCATAAACCTTCCTGGGGCCATTTAAGCAATTAAAGCGCAATCATCATTTGGTAATGTTTTCCCGGTTTTGCAGATATTTTACGTTGTTTTTCATTTTATACTTTATTTAATTTAGTACTTCATTTTGAATTTCATTTTGTGTTTTATTTTAAATTTTATTTAAAATTTTATTTTTTTAAGTTTGTGTTTTTTTTGCAGAAAAGCAGATTTAAATGGAGATGGACGACTTACAGTAGAAGAAATATTTGCTATATTCAAGGTGAAGAAAGTAGTAGTCTTTGTTTGTCTTTTGTTTGGATGTTTTTGTTCGTATGTCCAATCATAGCTCAGGAACCCCTGGACTGATTTGCCTAAAATTTTAATTAGGGAACCACGGGATTGTTCTCAGCTCAGAAAGTATAAACTAGAAGGGAGATATAACTGACGCGGTCCGCTCTACCATGCATTGCAGACGGTACTCCATTTGTATATGAAATATTCAGAATAGGTTATTGTATACGCGGTAATTGTACATCAGACAAATATTTCATGTTCTAAGCAAAGCAAAGCAAAGCAAAGCAAAGCAAAGCATGTATCATCATATGGTAGGACGGGTCGCGTCAGTTGTATCTCCCTTCTATTTCATACTCCTTGTCTTAGCTTGGTTAAAAAGGTTTAAATTCTGAATAAGGAAATCTTGGTTCCCAAGCTAGNTGTATTAGGAATTATTCCCTTTACAGGTTGATTTGTCAGCTGCTGGTAAGACTATATTGCTTTACAACAATATCAAATACTGCATAAAATCGCTTTAATGTCGTCTTCCGGTTCCAAAAATTTATTGGGCCTCACTGAACCAAATTCTTAAAAAGATTATTTTAAAACAATGGATTTGTTTCTTTTCGTTGCTCTTTAGAGTTTTATTTTGTTAATAAAAAATAATAAATAAAATATACAATAAATTAATATATAGAATACACAGTAAAATGAAGTATCAAACCAATAATCATAATAAAGTAATAATTAACTCTTATTACCGAATATAATAACTATTTCAAGTTGAAACTAAGTTATATTAAATTTGCCTTAAATCTTATCTTCTAAAATGTAATTTAAAACAATTATGTTTCTGTTACAGCATTTAACATAAAACATTTTACAAAAACTTTTGCAACTTTTAAGCTAAGCATATAGTATTTTTAATGTTTTTTTACGTTTTTTTTGTAAATTAGCTTTTGTTATTTTTCGTAGTACAAAAAATAAAAAAATTGTAAATTTTAATTGCAAATAAGTTTTGAAATTAATAAGAAACTGATTACCCGCCTCAAACTCTAACTTAATTTTTTTGATGATTATTATTATGTCGAGGGTCTAAGACATCAGGTTACAACGATAAAAAAATTGGACAGTTTAAGACAAAGAGTGTCTTATAATTCGAATTGACTATCTCTGTTTTTAATGACTTATGACTTTTCTATACCACGAACTTAAAGGGACTGTTAACATAATTTCAAATGGTTCCATTTCTAGAATGGCATGTTCGATTTACATCCGTACCCTTTAAACCGATTTCTGATCAAGAAAGAATTTAAGCTAACCATGTTTCGCTTTTATTTAAAATTAATTATTTATATTGGGGTTTCTGAAAAAAATGGCTATCACACATCTGCTGACAAAAACAACGGGGTTTTCTTTTTTAGAATTAAACATTTTTTTAAAACAACGATATCTTCCTTATTATTGATCAGATAAAGGTTCAAAGATAACTTTTGTGAATTTGGTAAATCCCTCTTTAAATGAAGGGTTCCTGGAAATAACGTGAAAAAGTCCCTTTAAACAGTATTCAGCAATAGCAACCTAAATTGTTTCGTCTGATCACAAACAGAAAAATAAAGATCTATTATTGAAATGATCAGGCAAATGTTAAACCGGGACAAATATCGGTGTTAAATAAATAGTAATTTTTAAACCATTATTAACAGTCCCTTTAAAATAAAGATTGATCTGAATGTATTTAAAACAGCTTCGTCGATTTAAAATTTAAACTGCTTCGATTGGTTTCGTGTCAAGTTTGATTAATCTGATTAACTTTAAGCAAAAATTTAAACATTTTCTCAAATTAAACTAATTGAACACAAGTTTAAGAACAAAAAAAAGTTTATTAATGACCTTCTTGTAAGTTAAGCAGAAGTAGATTCTAGAAGAGAGGGGGGGGGGGCATTTCCCAATACTCCCCTCATTATTTATGCTTTCTTATATACAATTTATATAACTCTTGAATCACTTGACAGCTTTGTGTGGTAACAGTCCTTATTAAATGAGATACAAACCAAACTTTATATATTTTTCCAGGGGAGG